AAATCATGCTAAATAAATCTAAACAGTTTATGAATAAATAGTGATTAGGATCAATGTTCAAGGGAGTTAAAAATTTTAATTTTACATGATTTTGTGGTATTAAAGGAATAAAAAAATGTTTGGAAATAAAGATATGTAGGCGTCGTAAATTTCTTTTTGAATTAGTTTAGTTGAAGACCTATATTTTAAATTTTTTACTTTTTCTTTCATAAAAATAAATAAATAAATAAAATTCCCTGCATAGGTGGCATGTCGACGCTAACTTATGGTGTCGGCACCTTAGACTTTTGTGGCAAGTCCGTGTTGGCTTCGTTTTGTCCAATTCCAGTGAGATGTTGACACCTCATTTTTGCGATGTCAACACCTATGTGATTTTCCATTTTTTTTCTTAGAAATTTTCTTAGAATCTATTTAAGGGAGATATTTTTCAAGTCACATAATTATATTTGGAAAATATTTTTAACTAACATATCTTTATTTAAAATGATCTACTAATTAAATATTTATCATATATATCATTTTATTATGACTTCTTTATCCAGTAGACTTAATTTTTTTATAGATTGCATGGTTGCCATCGAACAATTGTCTTTTAGCCATTCCAGCCTCTCTGTAAACATGCTTTCTTTTAGGCAAGTAGATGTATCAGTCCATCTTAGCCTTACATTATGATTGATTCTTTTCTTATATTTATTTCATTAATACTATAAAATTGTCAAAGAGTCAATATTTTACAATTTAAAATAATTCAATATGTAAAATATTTTTTTATTGTTAAAAGTATAAATTAAATACAGTAATAATTGTTCTTTTTAATTTGTAATAAGATAAAAATTAAAAAAAAAAACTTTGACCCACTTAATTTAACTTGAGACTAATTCCTCTTCAATTGTTAAAAAAAGAAAAAGGAAAAAACCAAACTCTGTCTTCAATTAATTTTAAAAGTGTGTTATTTTATCACTCAGGTAACATTTATATACTATACTACTCAAATTTACAATTTTTCTCCGGTATAAAAGATGCATGCTCTAGAATCCAAGATGATTGGTATTATAGAGACCTCTTTCAAAAAAGCTCCTTAGTCGAAGAATCAACATAAGTGGGAGCAAACACCCTTATGTTAATTTCAATCTAATCGTAAGGTAACGGATTATCAGTTCTGGTATATGGTGTGTGTGTATATATATATATACATAAAGCTAAAATAAATTCAAATGATTGTTACTTTTGAGACTACAAAAGAAAAAAAAATTGTATTAACGGTTTATTATTTTGAGTAAAAAAATTTTGATTTTTTAAAATAAAATTTTAAATTCAAATTTTATAAGTAAAAAGACAGAATAATTTTTCTTTTTATAAAATTTTATGGGATTTTAGTTTAAATTAATTAAAATTTAATATATTTTAGAATATAAGAGTTAGTTTAAAAAAAAAAAATAGCTGCAGTACAATTATTCAAAAAGTGAAAGGCAACTGAAAGGAAAGGCGTCCCCCAAATGGCCACTTCATGTGAAAAGTCATCTACTCATTCAGAAATTTCCCCGCAAAACAGAATGGGAATATTTTTCTGTCACCTCGTACAGTATGAGCACGTGACGGAGCCACGTAGAGACCAGG